AAAGGGAACAACTAAAATAGAACAAATGAAAATAGGGGAGGGTCTTGATTTGATTGTGAAAATGGGCATTGGTGAATCTGGCACAATTAGACCCCATGTTATAAGAAAACTGATTTTGATTTTATAATTATTTAGTTATGTGCCATTATATATACAATACCAATATAATTTTGTATAACTCAACTGCAAAAATCCAATATGGCATATGAGTTGAGAGAAATACCATAATATTAATTCTTATAATACATTCAGTAAAAATGTATGTATTATGAGAATTTAAAAAACCTGAACCACAAAGAGTCAGTGTTATTTTAGCAGCACTAAGATACTATTATAGGTTTTATTCATATTTTCTGTTTTAATATAAATTTTAGTTACAATTTTAGTAATTTTGTTATGTTTTTGTCATTTATATTTTATTATTATTATTATTATTATTATTATAAATATGTCTATATAGTTTTTATTTCAGTTTTAGTTTTTGTAATTAAAAAAATATAAACTAAATGAAAATGAGAAATGTTGCCTTAGCAGCTAAGTAAAATGAAATGTTTTTTTTTTTTTTTTACATTTAGTTTTATTTAATTTAAAGTTTATTTAAAGTAACATTTAAAAAAAAAAAGGTTTTAGGAGGTGGTTACGCAAACACCTTCAACTAAAAACAGACAACTTTTTATGTGTGTTGGCCATTCATTTACATGACAACAGCATTTTGGGGGCCTGAAAACACAAACTTTTGAAAACGGGTTTCAAATTTTTTGAAAATGATACCATTATTGTCTTAGTGTAAACAACAAAAACACAAATTTGTGAAAAAATGTTTTGGTTTTTAGTACAATTATTGTCATGTAAACATGCTCTTAGTTTATAACTATAATAACCCTGAAAAGCACTGATACAATTTTGTAGTTTACAGTGTAGCTGTGTTCTATAATTGGTCGTTAGCAGCTTAGTCTCAATTAGAATCAGTTGTGAGTTCAGTGTGTTGTTTCATTAGAGGAGCAGTATTTGTAAAGTAAAGCGCTCCAGATCCATCACCGAGGTTCTGTTTGGACTGATGGAAGACAGAACGGCGGCTCGCTAGATATTTGAGCAGAGCTTTTATAAGGTATAATGATAGCCACGGTCCTGATCTCTGTCATATTTAGTAGCGCTGGCTGTCATGAAGAACTCATGGGCTGTTTGTCCATCATATTTCCAGCTGATGCACTGAGCCGTGATTCACAGACATGTGTAATACATCACGGCTCCTCACCAGCAGAGAAAGTTTTATTTTTCATAAGGTGATCCCTTCCAATATTAATGAGCTGGGAGGCTGTACATCAAGTTCATACACGTTATATTAAAATTTATGAACGACTTCATCAAAAAGCACTCTGGTCGTGCCGGTGAGACGGGACAGATCTGGAGTGACACAGACACGCTGGGCTGGTTTAACGAAACGCTACCTGTCAGCTGAAAACAGATCATGAGAAAGACAGAGAGACAGACGCAAAATAACTGCTTGCTTTTTAGGAATAGTTGTGTCTAATAATCCAGTGATCTGACATGACTCTGAATGGACAGATGTAAATAAACTAACTACTCAATCTCTAAAATATGAAAATTCTGTTATAAAAAAAAGGTTTTTCTTCACAGCTGTCCCACAGTTGTGCCATTTTTACCCTGAACAACAATCTTGCCCCTAATAAAGTTTTTTTTTATCTGAAGTTAGTATAGATGTTTATGAAGTAGACTAGGGTGTCAGTGAAGTGCTTGAGATGAAGTATGAAGAAAGAATCTGAAATATAAAGAAAACAAAAGTAAAAGCAAGGTAAGTATGACTTTAGGAACACAATATTTTTATTGTGTGTCATTTACATGCGTTCTCAGTGATTCCACAGGGGATGCTATACCAGCATAAACTGTTTTCCCTTTCAGCTCAACAGAAGAGAATCTTGCTGAACAAGTTAAAGTTAGTTAAACTGTCAAAATGCTTATGACAAGCTACTTGAATAAGATATCTGTTTTAATCACACTTAATGATATCTGAAGGAAGTTCTAGCACTCTCTTGATTACTGAGGTTTGTTTGTTTGTACCTATGTGTTTGTGCATGTAGGTACTTTTGCACCTGTGCTTGTACCTGTGCACTTTAACACTTGTGTAGTTGTGCATGTATGTACTTTTACATGTGCACTTATGCATGTGTACTTATGCACTTGTGCATGTGCAGAATGTCTTTGTGCATGCATGTACTTGTGCATGTGCACTTGTTCACTCGTGAATGTGCATGTGTGTACTTGTGTATGTGCAGTATGTATTTGTGCATATATTTACTTGTGCATGTGCAGAATGTCTTTCTGCATGCATGTGCTTGTGCATGTGCACTTGTGCACTCGTGAATGTGCATGTGTGTACTTGTGTATGTGCAGTATGTATTTGTGCATATATTTACTTGTGCATGTGCAGAATGTCTTTCTGCATGCATGTGCTTGTGCATGTGCACTTGTACACTCGTGAATGTGCATGAATGTACTGGTGTACTTGTGCATGTGTGGTATGTCTTTGTGCATGTATTTACTTGTGCATGTGCACTTGTGCACTCGTGAATGTGCATGTATGTACTTATGCACTTGTGCATGTGTGGTATGTCTTTGTGCATGTATTTACTTCTGCATGTGAATTGTGCACTCGTGAATGTGCATGTATGTACTTGTGCATGCATGGCCTGATGGTCTTTTGATTTGTTCATTTTCGGATGGACAATTCTGTGACACTCATGTGAACAGCCCAAACCAGGATCACACAGGTCGCTCTTCAGGTTATTTTCTGAACCCATACATGCAATCCTCATGGAGGACAGGTATTTATTTATTTATTTATTTATTTGATCATCTCAAACTGTTTATGTTGCATTCAAATAAATTTAGCGTGGAGATTGCGGTGCATAAACTGAAGCGTGTAAAGTCAGCGGTTGCCGAACAGAGGTCAGACGTTCCTCCTCGTTCACGATACATCAGCTCTCATACGAGCTGCACACGTGTCCTATAAAGCTCCAGTACAGCAGCTTATAAACAGAAATCCAGCCGGCTGATAGTGTCAGGGCAAACACATTATGAGGCCGTTTGATTACGCTGCGCCTGTGTGTTTTATGTTAAATATGAGTTTATATGATCAGCACACTTCCCTCTATATTCCAATATGCTTTATTATAGATTTTAATTGTGTCGTGCACACGCTCTGGATATGAAGTGCTATCTTTCACGTGCTGGAAAACCAACAAAGAGTCTTTTATTCTGTCTGCGGTTCATCCCATGCTATTAAAAGGTCTGAAATATCTCTGAAGATATTTTGCTCCTAATTGGAAATAATTAACTTTGCCATCTCGGAGGCTTCAAAGTTATATTGTTCCTTTATGCATCTGAGTAATTAATTTTTAATTTAACAGTTGAATGCAAATTCTCATCCACAAATATTATTCATCGTTTTTTTACTGTGCCAAATACTGAAATATTTATAACCGTGCCCACAAAAGGGTCCAGACGCAGTATGAAGGAACATTTTTGATATTTAATGGCAGTTTTCAGAGTTTTCTGTCCGCAGTGAAGATGGCACAGCTTTACACGTCCAGTTTGAGACATTTTTTTAAACTCTTCTCCCTCAAACACAATTGTATTCAGTCATTAAGAATGCAAGAGTCACCTACACTCGTCTGACGCCGCATTAGCATACTGGCCTGAAAATGTCACTTTGCTACAAAATAATTCTTAGTATTTTCTTTGATACTGATTAGCGATTAGAGTGAAATCGCATGAAAGCAATCAAGAGCATTTACATTGTGGCTTTATTTCCACTCCAAATTGTCATTAATGTGAAAAAGTGATTTTTAATATGAAAATTATTATGAAATGTGAACACTATTATGGAAAGTCTGGTCTTTAAAGTAGACCTTATTGTATGTATGTATGTATTTGTTTGTTCGTTCGTTTGTTCATTTATTTGTTTATTTAATATTTTTCTTTTTTTTTAGAGAGATGATATTCATCCATATCTGCTGTGCTGTTCATTAACCTGAATTAAATCCATCAGTCAATCATTCATGTCCACTTTAGAATAATCAGTATGTTTGTTTATTGTGAGAGGCAGCATTAATGCCATCAGACTCATGCATTTTAATATCTCGCATTATCCCGCTGTTGTTTTGAATGTGAGCTAAAGATGAGCAACACACATGAGAAGTGTACATGTCCACGTGCAACTTTATGAAGAGACACTTCCGCTGCAGTCTCTCTCTCTCTGTGTGTGTGTGTGTGTGTTTCTCGCTTTCAGTTCCTAATGCCTGTTGTAATGTCGCATATGAATGGCCGCTAATAACAGCAGATTCAGACACATGCTGTACATCTGACCTGGAATCAGCGGCAGAAGGTCAGAGGTGCGCTGGAAAGCGAGTCTCTCTCTCTCTGGCACGCACTTCTACCCGGAGCTGATTTACAATCCCAGCAACGCGAATTTTAGCAGGACAGGTGTTAACAGATCCAAAAACCAGCCTCTCGCGTTCTCACGCGCTCATTTCACACACACATGCGCGCGCGCGCCGCTCGAGCTGCTGGAGGTGACACCTGTGCGTCACGTGCGTCATGTGCGTCCAGGTGCGTCCAGGTGCGCAGCAGATCGAGTTTCGCGCCGTAAACGCGCTTTTCGCCGCTGTTCTGGGAGCAGCAGATGCTTTCGCATTTCTCGAATATGAAATCATCTCTGGATGTGTGGAGCGGCAGACGGGTTAGACATGCAACAGTGCAGCAGAACCCGTCAGTGTGGCAGTGCATTGCATCTCATATTTATCTTATATGACATTAGACTCTTCGGTATATGGTCCTGAACTCAGTGCTAAAAAAAGTGCCATGGTATTATCATGGTTATTTGGACAAGCAAGGTACCATGTTTTTTTTGGGCATGTACCGTAAAATGGTATACTCTGGAGCAATTGTACAGAATTGCAAGATATAAACAGAATTATGAGAAGTCAGAAATGTGAGACGTAAACTCGCAATTGCGAAAAAGTCAGAATTGTGAAATAAAAAGTCACAATAATTTTGTATCCTTGGGTGAAAAAAACAAACAAAACAAGACACAAAGGAAAACTGAAATGTGAGATAACGTCTCAGGTTACTTATGTAACCATGGTTCCCTGAGTAGGGAACGAGACACTAGATTTCAAGATAACTCTCATTTCTGAGAAGAAAAGTTGGAATTGTGAGACATAAACTTGCAACTGCAAATGCAAAAAAAAAAGAAAGAAAAAAAAGTAAACTCAGAATTCTGAGGAAAAAGTTTATATCTTGCAATTCTGACTTTTTTTGCAGAATTGCAATCTTATATCTCACAATTCTGAGTAAAAAAAATAATAAATAAAGATAAAAAAATATTACAATTTTACTTTTTTTTCAGTGGTGAAATAGAAAAATAGTTTTGTAAAATAGAAAGTTGAAAACAATCTTTTTTTTATTTTGCTAACCTGTGTTGGAAGCAGGCTTTCATAATCACACACTCCAAAACACCTGCTCAGAAAAAAATGCTTTACTTTCATCTGAATCACGTCGGCTGTAAAATGACTGAAAGTATCAAAAGCAGCAGATTTTTATACACAAATACGCAAAAGACAGCCAGAAAACACTGGTGGTCTCGCTGAGCGTTTTCATTTACGTTCCCTTTTTGAAGACTAGACTCTTTCCTCAACACATCAGTCCTAAACCTTTCCCCTGCCTTGCTTTTATTGTTGTATTTTGCACACTCTCTCTCTCTCTCACAAATGTTTCTGGCATCCTGCAGCATTTGCATTCATTTCCCATAAAGTGTTTTTTGCAGCGCTGCAGACAATAGTCTCAGTGAGGACGCCTGATTAGGATGTTAAAGCTGCACAGGGCTAATGTGTGCATCGCAGCTCCGCACGCTTTCACCCGCAGCCAGCAGCCCTGTATCTGATGCAAGCTGATTATTCTGGAGTGAGAATTTCACTTTGATACGTCTGATGATGAGGCTGAAGAGAAGGCAGATAAGAGAAGAGTCGTCCTCGCAGATTTCACTTAAGGAACTTGAGAAAGTCCAAATACATTATCTTCAGAACTTTACATCTGTAAAACTTTAAATAAAGTTAGGAGAGGAATAGCACAGGGGTTTGGCAGGTCTGCAGCCGACGGCGGTTTAGTATTTTGTACGAAAATGAGTGTTTGGAAAATCTTTGTTCTGGAAGAAAAAACTTGTTTTTAATTATTTTTTTTCCCCAATTGGTCAGTGAAAGGTGGAGTTCCATAAAACACTGAATATCAACCTCAAGAATTCAAAATTATATGAACTTTTTTTTTTTATTATTTCATATCATGTTTTTTTTACAGTCATAATTTGGGACATTTTAAAATATATTTACAGTTTATAGAATACAGAAAATACACAATTTGATTTGTGTGATTGTTGTTTACAAGCAACTTTTTTATTATTGATAATCTTCCTTTATATATATATATATATAATCCTTTTAATATATTTTTTTTATAATAACTCTGGTAACCAGTTGATGTGCTGTATTTATATTACTGTAACGGTAATATAACATAATATTCACCCTGGAAATTTAGTGTAAAAAGAAAACATTAAATTTTGTATCCAGTAAATTAACAGAAACCATCATTACAATGAGAATATATTATAATAATATAATTAATACATTAGTTTGTTTCCAGTTATATTTAATAAATAAATGACCATCAATATATTAATTATATATATATATTAAAAGTAATATATGTAACAAATAATGTATATATACAATTACTGTAAATTATATATTATTATATGATATACCTTAATATATAAAAACTATTTATTTATTTATTTATTTATTGTAGCTTGATGGACACAAACCACAAGATGAGATTTGACTCAACCAAATATATTAATCTTAAATCAAATAGTCATGTGTTGCTTATCAGCTGAATTATATATATATATATATATATTTAAAAAAAAAAACCTGGTGTCTAACAAACATGTCTAAAATCAAGTTCTTTCTGGATTTGTTTGAGTTGAGTTCCATCGATAAACAGCACTGACAGAACACTTGCCAGTATCTGCCGTCACACACACATCACAGATTTACTGCTTGATCATGAAGGCAGTCAACACTACAGTTTGTGTAAAAACTGAGGAAATAGAAGAGCTTATTTATGTGTTGGTAGCAATAATTCATGGAAAGAGTCTTCAGCGATCAGCTCAGAACAAACATTACATGAGACGGACGGTTGGACGGTGTACAGTACGCATGGTGCTGGCTGTGTGTGTGTGTGTGTGTGTGTGTGTGTGTGTGTGAGTGTCTGTGTGTGTGTGTGTGAGAGTGTG